ACCCGGTTCTGAAGCAGCCCCCCATCCCTCCCCACTCCCCCAGGAGTTCTTCTGCGTCTTTTTTTTTCCCCTTCGTCCTGAACCTTTTGTTTATCAAATAAGTTTGAGCCTCAGTCAGAAGAAAAGACGAGGGTTTTATATTTCTGGTCTGAGAGGAGGGAAGACATGGTGGACTGAGGTCGACTGAGGTACTTTTCTTTTTTCACCACGGGACGTGTTTCCTCCTCGTGACGCGGCGCCGCATCAAATCAGACATCTTTTTAAAAAAATTAAATGTGACAAATACTTTTTATCATATCATATTTAGCATCTACTTGTCCTAAAACACAATTTAAAAACTGGTTTAAAGTTTGAAGTCTCTGCTTTTCACTCGAGGGTCTCAAAGAGGACGGCTCTACAGGTACAGGTTTTTTTTTTCTTCCTGAACTTTATTTAGCTCAGCCAGCATGGACGACGCTCTGCGGGTGACGTAAACAGCTCCGTGACACGGTGAGGGACGCTTAAAACGCATGACACAACGAATCAATAATGAAACTTGTTGCCAACGCTTTTAATAATCGATTTTTATCGATTTTATCGATTCGTTGTTGCAGCCCTAATTTTTATACATTTATTCATGTTAATGGTCTCATGATAAGTCATGGATTTTAGTACAGAAATTCTGTTTTTGTTCATTTTTCTGTCTAAATGCATAAAAAAGCAACAACTGAAAGTTATTTGAATTAGTTTTGTCATTTTATGGAAACGACATACAAAAATAAAACAGTTGCACACTGAATTTTATCTTTTTTGTCTTGACATTTTGAACTGTGCATCATGACATAGAATGTATACTTGGGTACCTTTACAGTGTGTCTGAAAATAATTCACAGCATTCACCTATTCCACATGTTATGGTACAGTCTTATTAATAAATTTATTAAATTGTTTTCAGTCAAAGTTTTACACAAAGGACCCCATAATGGCAGAGAAATGTCGTCAGTGTTAAGTTATAAAATGTGCACTGAATTCTCAACATGTCATTGATCTTCAAAGAATGCTGCAGATGTATCAGATATTTCTAAATTAACTGTGTTAATCTTTGTTTCTGGACACTTCTGCATGATGTCTCTTTCTGCTACAGTAAACTGAATTCACAACTGAAAAATAATCAAAAGCTTCTGCCAGTCTCTTGACCGTAGAAATGCAGAAAAGAGAAACATAGTCTTCATGTTTACTGAAATGCGTCTCAGTTTGGGGTGCTGCTGGGGTCACTACTAAAGGCTATTCATGACCATAAATTTTCCGTATATTGTGATTCCCTACTCACAATTATAGAAAATCAAATACTTCAAACCAATATCAACCAGCAGAGCCATAAAGGCTGCTTTTTGTGTTACCATATGTGATTGTCTGAGGGGAAAATATTGCACCTGACTTAAACTGTGACATACGTTTGGCACTTTTGAAAGAGGTAGGCTTTGTTTTTTTCTTTGTCTTGTCATTCATTGTGGAGGTGACATAACAAAAGCTAAATAAAAAGAGTGTGGAAGCATTTCTCAGGCTTCAAGTAAATGGATAGACACTATGGGTATAACAATACATCCACCCATATTGATATATTTTGATTAAATGGTTAATTATTTAATTATATCAAAGCAAAATTAAAATATTGATCTACACTCACCGGCCACTTGATTAGGTACACCTGTCCAACTGCTCGTTAACACTTAATTTCTAATCAGCCAATCACATGGCAGCAACTCAGTGCATTTAGGCATGTAGACATGGTCAAGACAATCTCCTGCAGTTCAAACCGAGCATCAGTATGGGGAAGAAAGGTGATTTGAGTGCCTTTGAACGTGGCAGCTCCTTGTTGAATCTATGCCACGAAGAATTGAGGCAGTTCTGAAGGGGTCCAACCTGTTACTAGCGTGGAGTACCTAATAAAGTGGCCGGTGAGTGTATATCCTCATCATCATCGTCATCATATGCGCTGGGCGATTAATCAGATTTTGATCTTAAGATTTGTGTTTTCAGTGATCATAAAAACAATTATCAGTTTACATCGGGCCGTATAATTTCCGTGATGTGAAAAACGCGGACGGTATCCATGGAGTCCAGTGTAAAATGTATCTCACAGAGTTAGCTTATTTGTGTGAGTTTCTGAGGCATTTTGACCGCTGCTTCTCCCTTTACCTGCCCTTACCTGGTAACAGCTCTGAGCTGCCCTCCCTCCCATCCACGGGATGCTACGGCTATTGTAGCTATGCCTCTGAAATGCTTAAATTATGTCCTGTATGTACACAAAGAACAGACAGAGCACATTTCCTCCTGTTTCAACCCTGGGTCACAACTTTATTAAACTCTGGTGAATTAACATTATACAGCTTGTTCTGGGTACTCGTGCCTTCGGCATTACACACACATACGTCCAGGACCATTACCTGCTCAAAATCCACAGGAAATAAGGATCTCGTAATTATGACATCTTATCTCATCATTATGAGATCTTTTCTCGTATTTATGAGATAAGATCTCACAATTATGAGATCAGGAGTCCTAACTTTTTTTATTTGGTGAATGCAATGCTCTTCCGTCAGAATCAGATATTCCTTTTAGTAAAAATGAAAAAGCTTTGTCCGTTTTTTGATACAGCGCTGTAAACAGTGCATGTGTGCGTCAGCTTACATTAAGTAAATGAGCTTAGATCCTGTTCAGTTGCTGTTTGTAGGTTTTATGTTTCTTTATGACATATTTAATGTTAAGTTCAGTTCTAAAACATTTTTATTTTGCAAAAGATAATTTATGTTTTACATGTTTTTTTCGTAGTGAATAAACAAAAAAAATTTAAAGCTGAACCATGGCTATTATACAGCATTAGTGAAAGTAAAATAACAGACTTTTTTATATTTCTGTGGTTATTTATTTGTTTAATTATTGTTCAGTCACTTTTTAATTACACACTGTTTAGTTTAATAAATAAGGTTACAATGAAAATGTGGAATTTAGGGGAAAAAGTGGAATTTAGAAAAATAAAAATGGAAAAAACAATTTAAAAAAACAGATTTTATAGGGCCCTAAATGCTGTTTTGTGTTGTGAATCCTGTGCCACTGCCAGCAGTATGCTGCAGGTCCCTCCCACACAGTGAAACTTTGTCTAATTTTTTTTAAAAATATTTGAAATCCTAAGGGAAACATTGTTTAACAGCTGTTGTTTATGTTCAATAAATTCATCTCATCAAAGTGAATGAATAATTTTGTTTAAAAACTGTGTTTTATGTTCATTTTTAAAAACAATAAACTCCAGTAAAATTTGTCTGTATGGCTGTTTGTTCATTCACAGAGTGGTGTTCAGCAGGCTCTGTCGGTCTTAAATAGGTAGATTTAGGAGGCCAGATGGATTACGGGTGAAGATGAGAGGATTTAAGGCAGGATAGCTTAGAGGTTTATGTTTTAATGGAATCAATAGGCTGTAAGTGTCATCTTTTACTCTCTCCTGATGGGATCATTCCACTGCACTGAGAGGGCACCATGACTTTCCTCGCACCCTTCTGCTTGCTCAACGTGACACATCTAGATAGCGATAGCTGTGTTAGTAAGTTCCTTGTATTCACTTACTCATAGCCGGGTGAAGGTTTGTGTGCACAGCTGCGAGTCACTGTATCCATGTTTTGACTTTCCAGTGAGATTCAGGGATCGGCGAGGAGACATCTGCCAGAACCAAGTGTGTCTGACAACGTTAGCCAACTCTTTTCTGCTCTTTAGGGGTTCGGCTGTGGGGAATTCCACATTAGCCGTGGCCGTGTGAGTTTCCCTGGCTGTAACGTGGTTCCGCTGCAGGCACAGTAAAACCTCTCTACGCCTGATCACCGCGTCCTCGCCTCAAGTTTTCTTCTTTCAGCCAAGTGTTCAGGCAGATCGAGGTGGTCCCCTGCTGCCCACCTCCCGACCAGATCGATAACTCAATAACATTTCTCACACAGCCGACTTGTTTGCGAGACATTAGCCACAGCTGAGTATATGTGGGACACCCTGCATATAACTGTCAGGATCAAGGCTTGAGCAGAACCTACAAATGAGTATTTCTGTTTGTACCAGCTAAGATTAATGTTACAGAGAAAAACACAACAATGAGGGAATTTTTAGAGAGAAACTAAACGGGTAATGAAGTCCAGTAATAGAATGGTGTTTGTGTTATTGTTAACACAGATTGCAGCGGCACTAATGTGATCTCTCTGTGGTTTCAGATGGAAGTGTTGCAGGAGTCCAGAATGATGATCCCAGACTGTCACCGTCGTCTGGCTGTAGCACACGCAGACCTCCTTCAGTTTCTAGTGAGTTACACTGAAATGTAAAACAAGTCGTTTAGTTCTCACAGCAGGGTTGAGTTGAAACAGTAAAACTACTTCTGCAGTTTCTGCTACACAACCATAACAATGATCACAATTTGGATAAAATGCAAAAACATCAGCTGGCAGCTGTTTGGGGTCGAATCATGATCGGATCTTTTAGTGTGATTCCTGACTGATCACTGGCCTGGACTGAAGCTTCCAGCAAAGAGAAAATGAGCAGTCTTTACAACAACAACAACAACAAAACATTTCAAACGATTACCGTATTTATTCGTGTATAATACGATCTCATGTATAATACGATCTCATGTATAATACGATCTCATGTATAATACGATCTCAAGTATAATACGATCTCATGTATAATACGATCTCATGTAAAATACGATCTCAAGTATAATACGATCTCATGTATAATATGATCTCATGTATAATACGATCTCATGTATAATACGATCTCATGTATAATATGATCTCATGTACAATACGATCTCATGTATGATACGATCTCATGTATAAAATTATCTCATGTATGATACGATCTCATGTATAATACGATCTCATGTATAATATGATCTCATGTATAATACGATCTCATGTATAATACGATCTCATGTATAATATGATCTCATGTATAATACGATCTCATGTATAATACGATCTCATGTATAATATGATCTCATGTATAATACGATCTCA